CACAAGACTTAACTTTATCTGCCTTTATCATTTGATCATTTAAGCCGATGCTCTGATTGGTCAAAAGTGCATTACATCCTAATATCCATTTAATAATAATTCTAGAAATTAAAACTTATTTTGTTTCTTTAATAACACATTTGAAGCTATTTGAGATATTACTAACTTATCATCACTAATGATACAATTTCAAGCCTTACAATTCTTACTTTTATTATTTGAGCAGCCCGTTTGAAACTACTCGCAAACTCTCCTTTTGCCTTTTCATTCTGCAAGTTTTCTGTAGTTTTAAATTTCAACATTTCTATTTACTTAATCTCATATCTTCTATTTATTCTAGGAGAATTTTATATTGCTTAGTAGTAATATTCTGAGTTCTGATACTACTGTTATCTTTAGTCCAAGATATATAATATGTAAAGAAAAATTGTTTATTTAGCACCGTCTTATCATCCGAAGCGTGCTCTAATGTTTTGCAATTTTATTTTTTTTTTTTAAAAAAAAATAAGTATCTTTGTTAACGTTGTCGTCGATCGTTTACCGACAATACTATTAAGAAAATAATTGTTCAAAAATAATTTGATAGGTTAATTGTTTATTCTGTACATTTTTTAGGTTGAATTACAACTGTGACAATAGTCAATAAAAAAAACGGAATCTAAAATTCGGTTAAATATTTTTACTGATACTTGACCGATTACAGTCGTGCACAAAATTAATTTAACAGATTTTCCTTCCTTTTTTAATGACGTCCTCCCATTTTATAATTCCAGAGGAAACTGTTACTAATAACGATAAAGGTAGAAAATAAATAAGCAGATGAATAGGGTAGTCGATTACAAAGAATTGATAATTAGGCTCAAACCTTACTCCCATATCTTCAAATGTCTTGCATTAGTTTTATTCATGTATTGCGATAGACAGACAATCAGCGTTTAGTCATTAGCCAAAGATAAATTTCCTAAAAAAAAAATCTTTTGAAAAAATCATTTTAAGATTCGAATTTTTTATTTGACAAATCTATTTCACAGAAACTTTGAGAAACAATTTGAGCAGTATTTCATTTAAGAGCGGAAAGTTTACACACTAAAAATAATAAAATGGTATACATGTGTAAAATTAGATAAATGAGAATATTACTTCAAGAATATTTATTTGGACTGAGAATTCACTTTTATAAAAATTTACTTGTCTTAAAACTAACATTATTTTTGTTTCAATATTTTAGATAATTAACTTAACTGAGGCTGTGGCTATAATTTTTTTGTTTTAAAAAAAAAATTCTTAAAATATGCATTTAGCGAAGTCGATTTATTTTGATGCTATGAAGGCAGATTTTTTTAAGTCCTTTTATATTTGAGAAGAATATGCGTCGATTTGAAGTTTTTTTTTTTTAAAAAAAAAATTATTAAAATGAAGTTTTTGGTAAAGGACGAAATTTTTTTTTTAAAAAATATAATTTGTTCACTTTGTAATTAGAATTTTATCTCTATAAGAGATTCTCGCATCAAATTTAAGTTTCCATTTTGAATTAACTTTATTTACTTAAACGGGAGGCAAGCTATTAAAATCACGTTACGGATCATGTTCGTAACTAAATTTTAATAGTAAACCTCCAAATGATTTGCTACATTTCTTCTTTTCTTTGATACGTTGCAAAATAACTTTTTTATTTATTTATTTTTTTCAAAAAGGTTTTGTATGCAAGCTGAGCTGGATTGACAAGCTCGCGAGCCAATTTATAATAATTTTATCAAAAAAAAAAAAATTTCAGTTTACAGTTTTATACAAATTTAATGTAAGAACCTTATAACAAACCATTATCTTATTTTATGACCTTTGACTTACTTTACCGCTTAAGGGGGGCGGTTTACAAAATAGTAACCAAATTACTAATCTAAAAAGGAAATATATATATAATTTTTTGTTAATCGAAAAAAAAGATAATCTAATTATCAATTAAATAATAAATATGTCATACCCAAACGGGATCATATAACTCAAATAAAAAACACCGAAACAATTAACTTACCTAATCTCTTGTGCGGCGTTTATTGAATAATCTTTATATAGGTAAGAATGTGTGGTAAGTTATAGAAGTTTAGGTTACGGGCTGTTTTATTTTCGTTCCAAAATTCGATTTTGAAATATAAAGTAATTTTTCCAGTAATTCCATGGCTAATTTTTTTATCATTGAACTCGTAACTCTATTATAGAATATAACAATAGAAGGAATCTGATGTTATATTTGATTGATTGATTAAAAGCTTTTTCATCACAATAGATAATTCTTCTAAGCCATTTTACTTTAAATAACGTTTGTCAAAACAAATGTCGTAAGCCAAATCCTTTTTATTACAAATTGTTTAAGAGTTTGAAGTTTCGACTTGAACGTTTCTGTTTTGATAATTACCGCAGTAAAAGTAACTTGCGTGTACAACTGCAAATCGGCATTGTTCGGAAAATATTTTCCGTTGATCTATTTTTGGTCATGATATTCCTTTTATATCCTTATTGAAACTACAAAGAAATTTTTTTTTTATTTTTAAAAAAAATGGAAACTCAAGTCGATAAATTAGATAAGAATTGTTCTTATTGTGATAAACCATTTGCCGAGAAATTATGGTGTAAAGAATGTGACCCTTGGCGTATGATTGAAGGATGGACTAGTGGAAATTCTGATATTGATAAATTCATAAAAGATACCATTTATGATGAAAGAAATGAAGAATATCCAAGATTTCTTGAATGGGTGCCTTATGATAGAATCACAGATATAAAAGAACTTGGTGAAGGAGGATTTGCCAAAGTGTATTCCGCAACATGGATCGATGTTAATTCAAGATTTTATATGAAAGATGACGGAAGTTGGAAAAAGTATAATCCAAAACCTATGAAGGTTGCTTTGAAAAGGTTAAATGGATCACGAGACATGTCAGCCAAATATTTTAGTGAGGTATTTTATATTTTACCTTTTATATTATCTAATAATAATATTTCTAATTTGCTTAAATTTTCATAAACTAGCTTAAAACACATTGGGATATTTATCAAACAAATAGAGAGGATGCATTAGAATTTTATGGGATAACTAAGGATCCAGAAACCAAAGATTTTATTATGATCGTACAATTTGCACCTGATGGAAATTTGAGAAGTTATCTTTCTAATAAATTTAACCACTTGTTATGGAAATATAAAATTAGTAAATTAAATTATATAGTGTATGATATTAAAATATTACATGATTTAGGATATTGTCATAAGGATTTTCATAGTGGAAATATCTTGCAAAATGGAGAATATTCTTATATTTCAGATTTTGGATTATCAGGACCAGCAGATAAGCAAAAATCGGATGATAAAATATATGGAGTATTACCGTATATTGCTCCAGAAGTCTTGAATGGAGAATTATATACTTTTTCTTCTGATATATACAGTTTTGGTGTAATTATGACTGAGTTATCATCAGGAAACCCTCCCTTTTATGATAGAAAACATGACGTATCTTTAGCCTTGGATATTTGTAATGGACTTCGTCCAGAATTTGGAAAAGGAACCCCTGAATTTTACAAGAAATTGGCTTATAGATGTATGGATGCAAATCCAAATCAAAGACCAAAAGCCGATGAATTATATAAAATAATGAGTTTTTGGTATCCATCTATTAATTATACAAGGTTTGGAGAAACTAAAGAATATGGATATTATGGAAAAGAAATAAAGGAAGCATTTGAAGAGGCAGATAAAGAGATACCAAATATTTCAATTTCACGTAAAACGAATCCTGATGCTATATATACAAGTAGAGCATTTACATTTAAAAATTTGACAAAACCTATTAATTCGTCTCTTAACACCTCATATCTTGAAAAGGATGAGAATAATGAAGGTAATATATATTTAACTTTATTATTTCGATAATGAAATATTAATTTTCAATGCATTTTAACAGAATTTCAAGATTCTCAATTAATTGAATTGAAAATTTCTAGCTCATTACAATTAAGAGGTAATATGAATTATTGATATTTATTATAGCAATTTAAATAAACTAATTTTGATTGTATATAATTATAGACGTCAATAATTGAAGTTTATTATATTTATTTATAACGTCAGCTTATTATGTACCGATATGATGATGCAAGATATTTTTAACTTGTATTTTTAACCATTTTATGGGTTGGCTTTGGAAATTTCACAATATTTGGACTACTTTTCAATTACATCTAAAGGTCATGTAAAAATTAGAAAGGAGAATTTTATTTATATCAATTAGTGTTTATTTCTTTAATATATCTTATTATGATCAAAATATCCTGACATTGAGTGAGCAATCATTTTATCCATGAACTTGCTTGATTTATATAATAAATATATAAAATCTACATATAAAAGCGTTATTTTTTTCTATTTTTAGTCTTGTCGATATTAGTTATCTCTTTTGGAACGCATAATATACATAATAATATAAATTTAAATATGATAAAATCATATGACGTTTACCATAAATACAAAAATTCCCATATTTTATAACCATGAATATCTGATTGATATTAACCAATTTTCAGGAATCAAATTAATTATTAATATTTTATTATTCATGCGAAATTATAATATTAAATATGAAAAGCAATATTTTAAGTAGTGATGAGGTTTTGGGCACATTTATTGACTTGAAATATTTTGACAAAGTTTAGACATGAAAAAAAGACCAAAATCTGTCCAAAACATGTCCAGTTGTTATTATTTTAAAGTCTTTTTATAACTACATAATATTTCTTATAAAATCAACGAATATTACGATCGTACATTAGACTAATTTTAAAGAACTATTATAAATATGATTATTATACTTTGTACTAAAGTGCAAAAGACGTATGACGTCTCAGTTGAAATATTGTGACGATAAGCAGCATCTGGAAAGATTACAATCGGGATACCTAAAATAGAAAATGATTCAATTACAGACATATATAGAATCTTTGGAAACAACCAAAAGACACAGTAGAAAGTGTTGGTTAACCAAAAAGTTGAGTTTAATTTTTATTTGTTTTATGTTTATTGATTTATTGTTTTACTAACTTTTTTTATTAGGACCGATTATGTCATTTTGGATCTGAGTTAGTGAAGAATGTGACTCAGCTCTTGGTATTCGGTAAAGCTCAATGCTGTAAACTTTAAGAGTGATACAAAACTTAAGTGGGTTATAGAAATTCCCTATAATACACAAGTTGAAGTTATAAAATGACTTGCTTAAAGGATATTCTTCCAACTTTGCTACAAAATCATAAAAAATTCAAGATGAAGTTCCGTTCTAAAAAGGATTCTTAACAATCAATTTCAATATTTTTTAAACATATGGACAAGTCTCGGTGAATACGCATTTCTTCACAAAATCAAGACAGCAGAATCTCTTTCGAATATGATAGTCATCTTGTTGTAAAATCGCCTTAGAGAATTTTACCTTTGCATATCTAAACCACTTGAAATATGACTGAAAATCAAGGTCCTTTATTTTTAGGAGTGCAAGAAAAGTTTTTATTTATTTTATATCATTTATACAATAAAATTTAATAAAATTAATTTATTCATTAAATTAATAATTTAATATGAAGGAGTGATAGCTCTGTATCCAGGCGTATGTAAATTCATGACTGGCTTGATCCAAGTGGAATAGCTATTGAAACGATAAGAATTTCGCAAGGTCATGCTTCGTATATGTTGTCTTATTAATGTTTGCCACCATAAACTTGCCAGATGGCTGTGTCAAATTTATCATATTATTTTGTTGCCTGAGTTTACATGAATATATTACAATATTTTTTTAATTTTGTAAAAAGTAAATTTGTTGAACAAGTCGTTAATGTCTAGCCCTCCTTATAAGCAGTAACGTAAGAATTCTTTCCCGTGAAAAAGGTTAAGCAAATTAGAATAATTGAAAATTTAAAAACAATCAGGTGTGTTAATAAATATATTGAAATACTAGAAGAAATATTTATTAAGTTCAATCAAGAGAATACTTTTACATCATTTGTCACGTTATATACAGACGCCTTGAAATCCCTAGACTTTTTTAGTAAATTGACTTGGCTAATCATGAATCATGCTACACGTGTTGATTGTACAAAAAAAAAGGTCGTATAAAAACTACCTGCATCGATAGAAATAAATTATTTTTCCTTGTCTTTTTTTTTTATTTTGAAAATTCTTGTTTGAAGTATGTATAAAGCTATAAGAACGATTCGATTACATATTTTATTCTTTTTATATTTTTTATCGCTAAACTTCTTGACTTATTTTTTTTTTTAGATGACTCGCGGTAGATTACCACCTGTCGGTCAAGAAGCCGATCGTAGACCACCTCCAATTCGAAGGAGGCCACGCATCCGCAGAAGAACAAGAAAACGACAAAGACTAAATACTAAAACAGGAAATTCCTTTACATCAGCTATCTTTGTGGGAGTCGCAATTGCGTTGACTATTTACGTTATTATAAAATGTAAGTTGTGATTTTTTTTTTTTTTTTTTTGCGCCAGAATAATATAATGAATTTGTATTTTGATGAAAGTTTTTATTGATAGTATCGAAATTTGATACTTGTGGACTGAAGCCGAATTGCTCACTGATATTCATAGTGATAATATTAATTATTAAACTTATACTCTTATTTAATGAAAAAGTTTTGCCTTACCCATAATACATGGTATATTAGAGTTATATTAATAAAACCTCGTCCCTTTTGTCTCGTTTGATCGACATTCAAACTTTTTTATTATTAATTTTTTTTTTTTTTTTTAGATGAACCCCATCAAACAGTCAAGTACAACTTCAATTAATCTATATTAAATACCTCCAATCGCCATCTCGACGCACTACTTGACAAACTCCCCAACGCACTCGCTCTTTTCAAGAGGTTATGTTGTTAAACTTATAAATTATTTCGAATATTTGAAACTTCATATTTCTATCATCACATTTGATTATTAAATTGACGAGATTTTTTTTCTTTAATCTTTTAATCATTGATGAAGGAATCTATAGAATCTCGCTATTTTTTTTTAAAGGATAAGGGAATTATTGCTACGCTTTCAATTGCTTATTATTAATAATTTTTATTTTGTACACACAGAGAAAATACATTATTTTATTTTTTTTTTTTTTTGAAGAGATAAAAATTTTAACATAGTGGAACGAAGCAAAGTTCATTTTACCTTTCCTTTGTTACTTCTACCACCAATGTATTGAATAAAAAATTAATAAGAATACATGCGATTCAAAAAAAGTTATACTTCTCTTCAATATTATTATCTCACCATATAATATTTGAAAAAAAAGTATTAAATATCGTCAATTCACATGAGTTTATCACTCTAATTGACCAAATCAATTATTTGTTCAAATTTCAAAAAAGTTCCGTTAATTGTTTTAGAACTATCGACAACTATTAGAAATTTAGATCGTAGCGTAAAATATTAATTAAATTCCAAAGTGTATGTAGTTCTATTATCTGAAACGTTACACGCCGTGTAACTTTGATATTAAACGAATTTTTAGAATTGGAAGTAGGGTCACTTGGCTTGTCTATACTTTTATAAGAATCCAAATTAATAAAGTTAATGAATTATAATAAAAATGAAATATTGAAACCTTATTTTGTTATTTCTCTTTCTCTTCCTTTTTTGAGATATAAAAGGAATATTTTATATATAATTCGGTCGATGATTTGATGGTAATCCTTAATACTTGATACTAATTAATTTTGTGTCTATTTGAAATGAATTGGATGTAGATCCAATAGGAGATCATAATAGGCAAATTTTTTTATAAATACTAATACTGTATATGCATGCCTTTGAAGTTTTCAATCAGAAAAAAAATAACAAGTATTTTTACTTTACTATCACTATGAAATACTCCATTTCCTTCGTCCTTGCCATATCCATCCTCTGTTTCCTAGTTGCTGATATAGTTGAAGGTAAGATTTTTTTTTAATTTGGATAGATAACCATTCGGATCATTCACTCTATTCTAATGACTGTATCTTGTTTGATACAGCATCTTATATGTATCGTGCCATGTCTAGTTTGGAAGTGGGGACGCCTTGTCATGCTTATATTACGGATTGCAAGGATAAAACTTTATTCGACAATGGTATGATGGATTGTTCCGATCCTTGTTTGTTGATGAAACGTGACGATATTCCAGACGATGGTCCATATTGTTTTTATTTGAACGTTCATAAAAATTTTGAAACCCCTACCGGAGAGAAATTCCTCGAACTTGAAGAAAATGAATGCACCCAAATTGATGGTAACTTTATAAATTGGACCTTTAACAAAGTACCATGTCCTGAAACATATCCAAAAGTTTGTCCACCAATTACTTCAAACTAAAATCCATTTCAATCATTTTATTCATTTATTCATTTTTATCATTTTTATTCAAAAAAAAAAAAAAATTATTATTCATTTATAAATTAAAAATGTAATTCTTTCTACTTTTGTTATAATAATAAATTGCTTTTTTATTAATGGGCAATAAAAATCACAAGATTATGGATCTTCCAAGTATAAAATTTCATCATCAATAAAAAAAGAAAATCTTTCATCATCATAATACAAAAATTCATTATTCTGGCGTAAAAAAAAATCATAACTTTACAATATATGAAAAAATAAAGATATATGGCCTTTTTGTTATTCTATGTCGATTGTGTTGTCGTCATCTGAATGTAATACTTTGAATTGAAGGTGGTCTACGATCGGGCATCTAAAAAAAGGTCAAAAAAATAAATAAATACAATAATAAAATAGGAATCGTTTTATAAATACTGCAAAAAAAAAAAAAAAAGACAAATTTTTTGTTTCTTCTATCAGACAGATGATATGATATGAGATGATTCACTTTTATACAAACTTTTTTTTCTTAAATTATTAATACTTCGTGTCGTACATCAATGAAGTCAATTTTATTCGAGTTGAATTACGTATAAAAAAAAGTCGAGGGCGAGACATGACGTATCAAACTATATATAATTTATTTATTTATATAACTAGAAATGCCTATTTACAAATTTTTTTTTTAATTGATATAAAGTCAATTATTTTAACGTCAATTTACAAAGAAGATTAGGTAATTTACGATTTTCTAAGTTAAATCCTTGTATTACTTGCCAATCATGTTAATTCTTTTTTGTTCCAAATCTAATAGTGTGCCTATCAGTAAAATTTCTTGCAGGTCCTTGACTTACTCCAAGTATTCTTGCTAGTCGCCATAATACAATAGCGACAATTGAATTTTCGTCCAACGACTCGGGAAGGGCCCTCGGCCGAACAAGGGGAACAAGGGGAGGGAAGGTATTTTATAAATAGCAATTTATTTCATGTAGGAGAGGCATCTGAGACAAAAGCTGGATGCATTTCTAAAAATCAAAATTTTCCCCAGAATCTAATTTCCTAGCAAACTTCCCAAATATTATTTGGAAATTTATTTTTGAAAATAAAAACTCTACAAGAATTGCATTTTGGAACGCCTCAAGTGGACGAATATTTCATATCGCAAATATCGCAACAACTATTAATCAAATCATCGAACATTTTGGAATATTTTAGAAACAAAGCATAATGTGTCATATTACAACATCTATTATTAAAAAATTCGAACATTTTAGATTACTTTAGAATAAAACATTACAATTGAATTTCTATTAAATAAATATAAGTTATAATTACCTTTTGGCCAGCAAAGTTCTACAACATTGCATTCAGCACGTGAGTCATCAGTTAAAAAAAACAATTGTTCAAATTTTGGTCCACATCCTTAAAAGGTTTGGTGGGAGTATCGTTTTTAGTAAATTTCACTATATAGTCAAATCTCCCTAATGTCTCTCTAAATGCACACATATATATGATTTCTCTTGAAATGCACACCCTCTTTAAATGCACAATTTTCAAATTTCACTATGGTCCCAATGGGGTAGGTTTGACTGTATTTTTAAAAGTAAAATTAAGAAATTAATAGAATTAAAAAAATAAAACACAAAATTAAGCAGAAAAATGATTACTGCCTTTTCCAATATGGATAGGAACGGTTAAAAAAGAGCGACTTAGAGTCGGTTCTGGAACCGATTCTAAATTCTGAATTTACCTGAATTATAAAAAATATTTACCAATTAAATAGTCGAACCTGAACCAACTATGGACCGGCTCAAAAGATTCGGCTCTAATCGTATCGTCATCAAATTAAGATACAGTAGGTAAATACCGAGTTTGTTTGATAACCAGTCAAAAAATTTTTATTGATCGATCTTAATATACATTAGGAGAGCCGAAGTAGAACCGAAGAGGAACCGAAATGAGATCTGTCACCATCCCTATTTCCCGATGTAAAATCAACCCAAGTGGAAGTGCACCCGTAGCACAATTGCTATATAAAAGTGAAATTGAATTATTTAGAGGATCGAAGGATCAGATGCATTCATTTGCTTGGGGTATGAGATTTGTTACGATACAAAGAATAAACGGTGTTCCGACACATATATTGTATTCTTATTATACAGCTCCTCCATGACCAAAATTATTATGATATTCAACAATAAACATGGATTCTCTATTACGGCTTTCAAGTGCTTCCTTTCTATATTTTTAATTGCTGAAAAAGTCCTTAAATATAATCTTAGCCGGAATTAATAGTCCGATCTGCAAGATTTCTAAGTTCTTGAACATTTGAGACAATAAGTTGAAATATGCATGTAATTCGGAGGAGGGTGTGTAATCCATCTTAAAACAAATTAATTAGTCCCTTGCGAAGTTCTTCTTTAACACGCCGAAACATTAGTGATTTTGTAGATTTAATAACATAATTATGTAAGTATTTTGACTTCTAGTGGATGCGTTAATGCAAGTTGTCTACGTTCTAGGCGATGATGATGGTTGCATTGCAATTTATATTTCGTGCTACCTGCTTTTTTTTTCACTCTTTACCATGAATATAATGGAGTAATTCCCGAAAAGTACTCGATTCCATTAATTTTAAAAACCTCCATTGTCATTTTTGAGTGATATTCAAGCGCTGAAACCGTTCATATACTTTTTTCCTTGGTATTACCATTTGCAAATGCATCTAACTCAAAATTTGGAATCTCAGAATTTTCTTGTATTCGGCATGGTGATAAGTGATTAAGATTTTGGTATGTATAATTTAGAGGAAGAATTGGTTTTAAAACTTTTGGTCATGAGTCCCATAAAGAATATAAATAGATAAATATAACAATAAATTATTTTTAAAATTAATTACTTTAAATCTATTACTAACTTCAAATCAAAAAGGTGGTTTTTTAACATAGATGTAAATAAAATTTATTTTAAAAAATCTTCTATAAAGCAGGTGCAATATAAACAAACCTGAGTATTGTATTTTCTGTATCATCGCCTTCCATATTGTTTGTAACTTTTAAAAACTTTATTTATATATAAATGTTAAGAGAGCTCGTTCGTGCAGTAAAAGTGAAAAATAAAAAATTGTTGTTTGCTTGAGAAAATTGAGAAGAGTAGAATAAAAATGAGGATCACAAAGTGCTTATCAAAGCGACACGAATTGTTATTGTAGAGTCAGTCAGATAATTGACAGCTGCGCCACATTAGCGGCGTAACCCGGTTCAACTAATTAAATCAAAATTCAAGAATTTTTTATATTAAACATCCAAATTCTAAATCAAATCATAGTCATTTTCATGTAACAGCGCGTTTTCCCAAATAAAATTCATTTGCTTTGATAAAATTATAAAGTAATTCTTTCAGGCACAACTCTTTAGGAAAAAAATTTTTCTCAATAAAGCGAGGTGTTATATTATTTTTTTTGTATTTGCTTAGTCTTTCATGTTACTTGAAAAAGCACGTGAAATACATGAAAATCTTTAATAGTAAATTTTTATATGATCATGATATATAAACCTTGTTTTTATTGGCTTCGATTATGTCACGATGTTGCCGATATGACGTAATGATTTGTTATTGATTTACATATAAATGGTGCCCGTTGCATCCAAACCATTTCTCTCTTTACTTTTTTCGCCCAAAGAAACAACAAACCTTTCTCTCTTTACTTTTTTCGCCCAAAGAAACAACAAACCTTTCTCTCTTTATTTATTCGCTCAAGGAACGGCAATATACTTTTAGAAGTTTACAAACCTTTTATCTCTTTACTTTTTTTACGTTTATGGATTACCCCCTTAACAGCTAAAAGGAATTTATAAAAGGAATCAAAAGATTTTATCTTTATATAATCGCACGTTATTCTCCAGTAACACGTATGTACTAAAAGTTTGTTTTGCAGCCTTGAAATTTTAATAAAACTGTCCCAGTTGTTAAACTCTACATTTATTTTTTGTTATTTTAGATGGACAATCAAAAACGATTTGTCAGTTCCTGAAACTTGAAAAGGACTAGAGGTTGGAACCGGTTAATTTTTAACCGGTTAACAAATATTTTAACCGGTTAAAGAATTTTTGGCCGGTTCCAACTGAAACTTTAAATATGAACCAACAAAAAAACTTTGAAATCAACTTTGAACAAGTTATCAATGTATTTGTCCCACCCCCAACTTCCTCCTCCTGCTGCTGCTGCTGCTCCTGCTCCCCCACTTCCACGGGCCGATCCTGCTCCTCCTGCCGCTAGAAGGCGAAGAACATACACACCCCGTCTGAATGGTGGTGGTGGAATAAATATAAGACAATTACGCGAAGAGCATGAAAATGTGCTCGACGAAATGAAGGAATTCGATAGATGGAATTCCTTCATTAATATTCTCGTGGTTGTTGTGTGGGTTTGTAGTATTGTACTTCCGAATATTAAACGTATGTTTAAAGATTATAACTGTAATTTATTTTAATTTTTTGCATATATTAAACTTTAAATTCTTTTATCACATTCAATTTTTAAATCATAAAATATAATAGTTAATTCACGAGAAAATGATGGTGGTGGTATAAATATGAGGCAATTGCGAGAAGAGCATGAAAATTTGCCCAACGAGATGAATGAATTCGATAGGTGAAATTCCTTCATTAATATTCTCGTGATTCCTGTGTGGGTTTGTATGATTATACTTCGAATATAAAACGTATGTTTAAAGATTATACCTGTAATTTATTTTAATTTTTGCATATACTAAAAAAAATTTTTTTTTTTATCACAGTTTAAATCCAAGGTATCCAATGTATCGATGACGAAGAACCACCACGGTGGGAGCCACACCCCGTCGAAATGATGGTGGTGGTATAATTGCGAGAAGAGCATGAAAATTTGCTCAACGAGATGAAGGAATTCGATAGGTGAAATTCCTTCATTAATATTCTCGTAATTGTTGTGTGGTTTGCAAGATAATACTTCTGAATTATAATGTATGTTTATAGATTATAACTGTAATTTATTTTAATTTTTTGACATAAATTAAACTTAAATTTTTTTTTATCACAGTTAAATCCAAGGTATCGACGACGAATAAGCACCACGGCGGGAGTCACACCCGGTCGAAATGATGGTGGTGCGATGAATATGAGACAATTGCGAGAAGATCACATTAATTTGCTCAACGAGATGAGGGAATTTGATAGGTGGAATTCCCTTATAAATAATCTTGTAATTGTTGTGTGGGTTTGCATGATCATACTACCAAATTTTGATATATCTTTTACGAAGAAATGGATATTCAACACATACTATTGATATAATTTGATATTTTTTTTTTTGTAATAAATAATTTTATTTATTAATATTTTTAATAATGCAAAAAATTTAAAAACATAATTTATATAAAAGATTATTTTTTTTTAAAAAAAAAAAAATAAATTCAAACATTCCAAAAAAAAATAACATTGCTAATAATAATATTAAAATTGCAATAAGTACGCCAAGATATAACATTATATCTTTCTTCCGACGCTCATGCATTGTCATCAGCTATATTATTTGCTTAAAATAAATTTTTCTTAATAATAAAAATATTGTGGTAGAAGGTAATATTGGATCTTTTTCTTATTTTTCTAAATCATCTTGATGATTAATTTCATTTCTTTTATTTATTTTTATTTACTTCATTTGCTTTTATTATTCATATATTAATTATAAAAGAAATTTAAATTATTAGTTAATCAAGAGTAACTGAATTTCAACACTTCAGAAAAAAATGAAATAATAAATTATTTTATTTATTTTAAAAAAATTAATAAAAAGAATCTTGTTCTTTCATTTAAGAATTCTTTTTTAAAAAAAATTCTCTTTTTTCTCATTTTATTCATTAATAAATAACTTCTTATTTTTATTTTTACAATGAAAGGCATAAAGTTTAATCATAAATTTTATTTAAGAAAATACTTATATAGAATTGTATCATTTAAAATAAAAAAAATGATATAATATAAAAAATTTTGAGTTAATTTTAGAATAACAACTAATAATTTACTTCTAAGATCATAAAATAAGTAGTTTAGCTTACTCTTATACTCTAGAGAATTAGATGTACATATGTGATATATTTAATAACTCTTAGATTTTATAATATTAATCATTACAAATAGTTTATATAAAAATACCAATAGTTATAATGATTTAACTATTTATATATGTTATCATTAGCTTATTACAAGGGATTTATTTTATAGAATATAAATTATTCATCTTATTGAAATATATTATTATAACAGAAATATAATCTATTACAGATTATAGGAGTCATATTTAAAGATAATTAACTAGAAAATCTTTCACAATAATAATACTTAATAATTATTTATTTTCAAAATCTTTTAAATTATAACCTTTATGTAATTAATATATAAATGACTGATAATTTTTATTTTTAAAAAAATAGTATATTTTTATACTTTGTATTATGAAGATAATTTTATTTTTTTTATACTTTATACAATAGTAGATAATTTTAATTTGTTAAAAAACATATTTACAAATTATATTAATAATAGAATCTTTAAAATTACTTATTTATACAATAATCAGTGAATAATAAAATCATTTTTTTAAATTCTTAAATCATATTAATGAAGTAATAAAAATTGTAAATATTTAAAGTATGTTTTTATTAAATTATTTCATTAATATTATTATTTTATTACTAATTTTATTACTTTTAATTATTTTTCTATTACAATTTATATTTTAATTCTAATATAAGATTACTTTTTATTAATACTTTTTTTTACATAATTTTTTAAATTATTATTAATATTATAAATTAATAAAATATTAATCTGATATTAATAAAAACGTTATGAAAGATAATTAGATTAAAAGAATATTTTAAAAAATTGTACTATAATTTAAAAATAAGATAAATCGACTTAATAAATTTACAATTTAATTTATATAAAATAATTTTAATAATTTATAATTTTAATGGAAGTGATTTAAAACAAATAAATCAAATATGCTTATTTCTTTTTAATTATTTAGCAATTTTACAATTTAAATTTGTAGATTTATTATTAATTTACTATTAAATATAAATAGTATTTTTATAAAATATTAAAAAAATTTTAGGAAAAATTTTTTATTGAAGTTAATGCAATTTTTTTAGATATGAAAAATTTTTGAAAAAGTAAAAAGTCTTATTTAATCTTTATAAACAACAAAAAAAGTAAAAAATCTTTATATATAATTAATATTTTTTTAATCTATTTAGAATCTTAGATCTATTATATATTTAAATATTATTTTAATTAAATATTATGAAATTATTACATAAAGTTTGTAACTTAAAATAAAATCATGTAAAGAATAAATAAATTTATATAATACTCAAGAAATCATAGATGAAAATTCAGTAATATCAAAAATTATTTTCAAAATAAAATATAAAAATAAACATGAAGATAAATACAAAGATATTTTAGAGATTATATTTCAAAAATTTTAAATTAATAAATTAAATTAATATAATATTATACAAAGGTTTATTAATAATTAATAAAGAAATTGTAAATAAATACAAAGAGTTTACAGAATAATTCAAATAAAAATAAACTGTTATAACTAAGGTTGCTTGTCTAAACTCATTTTAGATTTGGAAAAATATCTAAACTATAGTTTTGCTAAATTTTTATTAAAAATTTGATATAGTTTCGCATTTTTATAAACTTTGATATAATTTTACTTTTTTTTAGATTTTTTAATAAAGTTTAATATAATTTCAATAAATTTTACCTTTTTCCATTTAGATGACTTGCAAAACTTTTAGGTTTTATTCAGCAACCTTAATTATAACACATTAGTTTTATATATAATTAATTATACTTCTTTAATAATACAATAATAAGTTTATTATTTAAAAGTTATAATTATCTCATTAAAATTTTAAAAAAATACAAAGATATTTATACATATTTGATAATTAATAAAATAAATATTATTAAATATATCTAATGGAAATAAAATAAATTATCACAAGAAAATAAAATGAATTTGTTAATAAAGTTAACTGATTTACAAAAAATTAAATTAACATAAAATTTTAATAGATTATTACATTAAAAATTAAATTGATATTTAGGATTTATATGATTATTTTAGAAAATAAATTTAATTAATTGATCTACATAAGTAATTTTTAAGAAAATAAAATTAACATCATAATTATCAATTATTTTTCTAAATGAAAATTAACTATTATAATGTTAAAACTTAACTATAATAAATATTATAAAATTAATGAATCAGTTCTTATCCTAGTAAGTATACAAATAATTTTTATAATATTGTTAACGTTACTCTTTTCGTCGAATAAGTTAACTATGATTTGAAGTCAAGAAGGCAATAGCTATGACTTAAATCCAATCAACTTGACATATTATTTATTAAAGAGTTTATTTAATTAATAAGAAATAAATTATAAGTTTTATGTTTGCAAAATGTTAAGTGTGTTTATTATTGTTATTAAATATATATTGAATACAATGTTAAGAACTTGTTGAAATCTATCCTTTTTCCAAGGCATTTTCATGCCCTTTATATAAGAAAATTACAATTAAAGAAAATCTATGACAAATATGATACTACTGATAATAATAACAGAGTTAACAGATATGCTAATTATATTAAATATGTTATAAATGATAATAAGGATATAAATAATAGAAATATAATAAATAGTATATGTATCCTATTTGGCAGATTTGGCAGATATGACAGATATAGCAGATTTGGCATATATGTCATATTTGACAAGTTCATCAATTTTTGCCAGTTTCAATGTATTAAATTATCAAATAATTTCTCATATTAAGGCTATCTTTATAAGATATATGAAAAGTTAATATAATATAATTTACTTAATCAGTATAATATAATACTATAGATAAATAAATTAAATATAATTATAGAATCAGTATAGTACAGTACAAATTTAAAAAATTCATATTATTTAAATTTTATTGTAAAATTAAAATTTTATTTATTTATATTAATATTATTATAAATCTAATAAATAATAAATTATTTAATTTTTATTTAATTTTTTAATAATATAAAGAAAATTAATAAAGCAAAAAATTTACTTATAATAATATTCTTAATAATCTTATATTATCATCTTTTTATCAAATATTGAATTTATTTATAAAGTAAGAATTTTAATTTTTTAAAATAAAATATTGAAAGTATTTATATATAAATATAATTAATATATAATTAAACTAAATAGTAAAATACTTAAATTTAATAGAGCCTAATATTATTAAGAAATTAACTTAAAAATTACTAAATACTCTTAAATAAAAGTTACTCAAATTTTGAAATCAATTAATAAATAAATCTAAATCTTAAATAATCAAAATAAAAAAAATAAAACTAGTAAATAAGGTATAATTAAGAAATATTTCATAGTTAGATTCTAATCTTATTATCTAATTAGTTAGTTTTTATAACTTTGTGAAATTCTTAAATTATCTTTTCACTGAAAAGAAATTTTAAGAGCTCGGGCTAATTGGCTATAATAAGTTAAAAAATATACAGAAAAATACATAAAAATTTTATTAGCAAAAAAAAGCAAGATTTTAATTATATTGAAAAATTTATAAATTCAGAATTATTAAAGAATAATTTAAATTTAACTCAAGCCTATTTTAAGAAAGATTTATTCAAAATTTTCTTTTTTATGTAGTTGGTTATTAGTCAAAACTATATACAATTCATGCATTATTATTATTAGTGTTAGGTAATTTTACTTTATATAGTGTTAGCTATGATAGTTTTAAAAAGAAAAAAATAGGTATATATTTAATTAGCT